CCCCAAAACCCCAAAACCCCATTGAAATCATTTAGCACTTGAATAAGATTGAATGATTCGGTTTTTTTAAAACTATAATTAATTTGTATATTCATAGGTATTTAAATTTAAACTTAAAATTTTTACAAAACAAGCAATGAGAGTAGCATACGTTCTTGCAACATTAAAGTTCTTAAATTATTGTCTATACACACTAATTGTTCCATTCTTTCCAATTATTTTGGCGTAAAAAGGCTTGTCAGAAAAATGGATTGGATATATTTTTAGGTATGCGTTTAATATTAGAGATGATTCATTTTTATAGTGCTTATCCTCTAAGTAGTATAATATTTACTCCCTTAATTGGGGGATATGTGACGAGAATTGGTAGGAAAAAATCTCTGCTAGTTGGGTGTGCAATATCCGTAACTTTAATTACTTGACATATTAGTGGGTGGGTTGTGTGCTTTTTTTATTCGCCAGATACATTGAAAATTAGTATGATTTCTTTTCCTTTTCATTGATTCCTAAATTAGGTAGCTCCTGATAGGGATATCCCTTTTCGCAAGAATTCTTCAGGGAATTGCAAATGCGTTAACTTAGCCTACATGTATGACTTTAAAATATATTACAAATTTAGCTTAATCAATTCTATTGATCTATTACAATGGAAATATCATTAAACCTATGTCAATTATGGAGATATCTGGTGCCTTAGGAGCAACCTTCGGTCCTTTTATAGGCTCAACCTTGAATTATTTTTTCGGATATGAAGGACCTTTTGTGGTATTTTGTAATTTCAAACCTCAAAATTCACTTCTAAACTATTTTTTAGCAATACTCTACATTCAAATATTCTCTTTTATTGTAACCTATATACCTGCAGATAATAGCTATGTAATGGACAAAAGAGAAACATTGCAAGATGGATTTGAGAGTCCAAAAAAATTAGGAGAAATTAATGATTTCTAAGATAGTAAAAGTAAATAATAAATGGTGGGATAGTCTCAACTTATTGAATTGCATTCAGGATTAAGCTTTACCAATGAAGACAATAAATTTCATGAAAAATTCTGCGTCACTGATCCTGAAATTCAGGAATCATATGGGAAATTGAATGAAGAAAACAATGATTACTATGGGTTTCATCCATTTTATGATGACTTACCTAAATTCAAACTGCTTCAATTGAATAGAATTGATTAGAGCAATCACTTATACCTGAAAGCATTAGAAAATATTGGAACAAGCTTCAAGCAGAGCTCTAAAAATGAAAATCGCATAAAACCTACTCAAATCTACATATTGCTGAAAAATGTGCAAGTCTTTGCTACAATATTCACATTTTTCGTTTCAACATGCTTATGGGTTTACATAGAGCCCCTTCTTTCTCTCTACCTTGTTAATTAATATGCTCTTGCGAGCTACACGACTCCAATATTTTTTCTGGTTTTTTCTGCAGGATACCTCACAGCCACATTTTCCCTTATCAAATACAACAGACTCAAATCTATTTCTAGCAAGTATCAATCTGTGATGGCTTTTATACTCGCTGGATTATCTTAAGTTTTGATTTCTCCAATTATTCAGTCTTTAAAGTAAGAAATTTACTCAGGTTAATTTGTATATTTAGTACGATTTGGCTGACTAGTTTAGGGTTATTTTTATTTGGATTCTTTACTACTTTCACTTTGGTTCCCATTTACAATGATATGCTTAGATCGTTGGAAAAGCATTTTGATTTAAACAGAATGTCTTTCTCTTAGGTTATTGATTAATGCAGTTCACTGACCGTATTCTTGAAAAGTGTAGCATAAGTTATAGCACCAATATGTGGGACTTATCTTTACGAATGGTATGGATTCAGTGATGTTTGCTAGATATTTTGCATAATCTCAATCGCTTATGGAATATTTCTATTTATAGTTTTATGATTTTTCGGTTTATATCAATCATCATATTTGAAAGCGACTTAATAGATTATTAATTGTATAAATTGATGGGAAAAAGAATTTATAAGAAAAACCTAGCCATTGATTATAAAATTAGTTTTATAGACATTAATTCATATTCATAAGAATTGTTATTCAATTATGATTAAATTTTACATCCAGTGGGGTTTTGGGGTTTTGGGGTTTTGGGG